ACACACACAGACTCACACACAAACAAACTCCTCTTTGATGTTTTTTACACATTCTAAAACTCCTCGATACTCAGACAGCCAATCAGAATCATCATCAGTCTCCAGTGTTGACAGGAATGTACGGAGTCCCAGAAGTGACAAACATCACTGCCCTTCATAGTGACACAAATATACTGAGTTGTTACAGTCACACTCTGGACTGTAACAACAGTTACTGAGCTATAGATTTCAGACGCTTAACAGCAGAAACATCCCAATGCAGTTACTGGCTGGGCTGGGAGTATTTTAAGCAATAATAAATGTACATAAACGCAAACATGCAGACGTTTGATTTGATTCAGTTAACGAACACGACGCCGATCTATGGAACCTGTAGTGACTGTACATCAGCACTGATGTGTCGCTAAGCTTCAGCCAATCACAAACCAGTACAACAGAGAAAAAGTGACTCAGACTGATGGTGAAACATCCATATATACTGCCTATAGAGTACTGCAGTACTTTAATACTAGATGAGTAAACATAAACCATTGTGAGGGTTGGATGTGAACGTGAGCTGCCGTTTCACATGGTGCTTTTTGACTCTTCTGGGCCTCCGTGCTGCAGGAACTCAGACTGCCCCCTGTTGGTCTGTTGGTGGCGTGGTCGCGGTGTGAAACCTCATATCTCCGTGTGGTTCTTTTCTTCCTGTCGTTGGTTTTTAGAAGCCTTAATTATGGACTAACTTAATAACTTAAACTTTACCTGCATCTTGGATCGTGGCTTTAGTTATCGATCTGCCGGCTCAGAGTCTCTGAGTCGGCGCCATTTTTGGTGGATTTTCTTTGCGGTGGTGTAAAACGGTTGGATGTTTGGCTGGAGTTCTGCAGGGAGGGCTTGTGTTTCTTCCTCTTCGGTGTTTCTGTACAGATTTGTGATTTTCTGCATGCTGGAACTGACTTTGTGTTTTGTGTTTCGGCTTCAGCCTCCGTGGCGTTTTGACGTTTGCTGCTGTCGGCCCGCGGTCCTGCCCTCCGGTGACTTGACTCGGACTCGTTAGCTTTGTTAGCATTCCTCACCCGGAGCAACGGTGTCTGCTAGCCGTGAGCTAACAAAATGCCGGCGGTGCCACCTTTGATATTCTGCGATTTTTGAGCCGTTGTGTTTGTCTCAGAGGCTTTAAGCAGCTTTTTACCGTCGGGAGAATGTAGAACTTTGTACAATCAGATTCTTATTATGACGATGATATGATTATGATTATTATTCTCGATATACTGCATTTGTATATTTACAAGCTTTTTAATGTTCGGATCAGACTTCCAGTGCTAGCGTTGTGTGAGTCCGCCTGTAGAGAACACATTGTGCACTATTAGCTTTATTATTTTGTTGAGTGTTGAGTTCCTCAGCTGCTGCTGAATGTGTTTGCCACAGCACTGCTGCCCTTTAATTTATTGACATCTCTGTGCCATTCGGCATCCCGCCTCAGAAACGCTCGGAGCTGAGGAGGCTGAATACTGAGTCAAAGGTCGGGGTGTTGGGGGATGGGCGGGGCCACGCTGAGGCGGAGCATTACACCTCTTGTCATACTGTGTCCCATTCGCTGCTAGAAACAGCTGGGAAAATGACCGGGCCGTCAACGTGTTCAAAAATCTGAGATCATATTTGTAAAGAGGCGGAGCTAGAACTGCACAGGTGTGCTGTGATCCCGGCTAGCAGTGTGCACATGTATCCGCAGGTCAAAGGTGGCCTTTAACTCCAACCAGCTGAATGAAAACACACAAAGAGCAGAAAGCGTTGTGAAACGTATTTAAGCTGCTCTGACCTTTGATTTTATTCAGATTTTAGTTTTGGAGACAAAAACCTTTCCCTGTCCTTCAGCCTCTTCAGACTGAGCGTGACCACCGTGGGGACTCTGAATAGCACCTCCGGCGTGAATGGCTGTTTTCTACAATAGTCTGTGTTTTCTAAAAGCAGCACCTCCACTTTGACCTTTGACGACACTTGAAAGTATTTATTAGTTGTGAAAATACTGGTGGACGCACAAACGTCCCCACAAATATCTGAGATGTCATTTTTTAGAACTCTTTTGGTGTTTATGCTTGAAACTGAAAAATTCATCTTAGAGTAGATTTCACGTGTTATTATAGGAACACTGCTATGATGTTTCTCCTGTGTTTCTACTGGATACTCAGTGGGCGTGGCCTCTCCATGTTTATCTGAACGATCCAATCCAAAGCAGGGACTTCCTGCTTCTTCAGCTGAACGTCTTCAGGTCGGATGCTAAAGATGCTCACAGGTCAGAGGTTCCTGTTTTGAAGCCTCACCTGAGAGAACAGGAAGGAGGAGGTCGCTTCAGACACCTGGGATACTGTTAGCCACGCTTAGCTCCTCTAGCCACAAGCTAAAGGGGTTTTAATCAGCTAGCATGTTAGCTTGTGGCTTACAGGTAATGGTGACAGTAAAGCTAATGATGCTAACAGACCGCATTTCCCATGAAACATCGGAATAATCAGTCTAACGACTCAGACAAGGACAGGTTTGAGCTGGGGCAGTTTTATAGACCAATGATGAAGTATGATGGCAGCCCGCCCACAACACGTGCTGAGGCACCCCGAAACAAAACCACGAGCGCTAACAGTCCTCTCTGCTGCTGAAGGCTGATTTAAGTTTATAAAGGTCTTTTTTTTTTTACATATTGTTTCCAGTAAACGTCAAAGAGCGCATTAAATATCTCTCTGAGCTTTCTGTCTTCATGCTGGTCTAACTCTGGTCCAGGGAAATAAACCATCACACAGGAACTGAAGCAGCACATCACAGTTTATTATCATTTAAAGCAGAGGTCTCCAACCTTTTTTGCACCACAGACCAGTTTATGCCCGACAATATTTTCACGGACTGGCCTTTAAGGTGTCGTGGATAAACACAACAAAATAAAACTAGTACCGGTACCGAAAAAAGATTTATTCATAACACACGTGAAAGGACCCAGGAAAACCGAGTAAACGATAAAAACGATAACAAAATAACACTGAAAACCGATAAAAACCCTGAAAACCATACATTTCACACCTGAGCCTCAACTCTCGCGGCCCGGGGGTTGGGGACCGCTGATTTAAAGAAGTGATGGTACAGCCACAGAAGAGTGAAAAGCCTGGTGAGTTTCAGGCCTCAGTCCCACAGTCAGAGACCACCTGGGAAAATGAGCATCCTTGATTGGCCGGCAGGTCACCAAACAGCAGTGAAACCTGAAAAAGCGCGACAGGCCTGAGAAACTAAGGCTGTTTGCCTTCAAAGTAAAAGCTGTGCTTTACTGCCACAAACAAAATAGCCAACCCTCGGCAACCGGCAGACAATACTTATTGTTCCTGTGGTTGCCGGGGTTACAGACTGCTCTGTGAATCCAGAGAGGAACCAATCAGCTGACTCCTCTTCGTTGTCTTAAAACACTTCTTGAAGTTTGACTGAGGACGAGGCGTGCCAGCCGCGCTCTCGGGTCCTTCTTTGACGTTTGATTAGCTTCGGTTTGATTTTATGGATCAAAAACATTTTAGTTGAACTTCAGTTTCAAACCAAACTGCAGATGTTTTGCGTAATTAAATCAATTATAAATGAAAATGATAAACGAGTCTCTGTATCTGAGTGTTCTCGGCCCGTCACTGTGTGCTGGTGAAGGTTCAGTCTGAAGCTCCTCCTCCTCCATCGCCCACCATGTTGGCGCTCCGTCACATCCTGTCAGCTCGCTCTATGATGGATATTGTTCTGTACTGTAGTAACTGGACTATGCTGCATGCTCGTGTGTAACTGTGTGAGGGCGAGAGTGTGTTTGGACTTTTCTTCTGCATCGTGTTCAAAGTGTTTCTGTAAATAAACTGAGGTGGTCAAACGCTGCGCTCTGATTGGTCTGTTCTCACTTTCAGCATCCACAACAACAACAAAACATTTTTATTCAGAAATCTTCAAACAAGATTCATCTGATGGACAAACAAACATTTTCTT